TTTAGAGATTTTAAAGCAATGCGTTCAGGGTTCGGAATATTAGGTTTAGGAGGTTTCGATTTTTTTAAAGGATTTTTGCAGTTTCAAATCGAATTTCATTGGTTGTTAAATATGGAAATTTGTTTAGGAGAGACCCGACATTTGAAATTATTCCAGTCTGCAAAAGTGTCCAGTGTATGGTAGTTGGACTTTGAGTTTCACTAGTGTTGAAGTTAGTTTTTCAAATTGTTGAATGGGATCTTGGGTAGAAGATAAACGAAGATTTTCAGCTTTATCATGAATCATATTTGAAAGGATATCGAACTCAAATGGGGACAAGATGGAAGCAATTTCAAGGTGTAGAGACAGGAGATTTATCTACTTCTTTACGGGTATCATGAATTCTTTCTCGAAATAAAGCAAAACTAGATGTACGAATAATTTTATAAGCGGATGAGGATCTGACAACGTAACAAAAAAGTCATACAGAGTAATCAGTCGGTGATCTTCTAACTTTCTGCTCTTGGGCTTGATGTCTTCGCCATAAAGGCTTGTTAGATTTTCAAAGACACTTCCACAGGCTATTGTAATACTACTTACAACAGTTTCAGTAAAACTCTGAAGAAGCCAACAAGATGATTGGCGAAACGCCAGCAAGTTTTTTAAATAGCATTACAATAGCCTGTGGAAGTTTCTTTGAAAAATTAGGTTATTGTAAATTATAGTAAATAAATACATTATCGATTTACAAATAATAATACTAATAATAATATTTTCATGAGACGCCAGTTGAGGAAATAATGTTTCTACGCGAGTCCCCTTTCTTTTATCTTATTTATGTTAAGAAATGTTGAAGGGTCACACAGTCGTCGAAGTAAGTCTGTAGGGAGTGCTTCCATTCTTCGTTTATCAAAATGTAGACACTAGGCAAGGCATAAATGCACATCAAATTCCTCCGTTTGACTAATCGGCCTGTTTACGTGTACATAATTGTTTATGAACAATATTGCGCAAATTTTAATCGTCGAAATAAAAAAGAAAAACATTTTTTTTACCGCTATTTAATCTTTTTTTTGTAATAATTACCGCGCCGCTGGCCAAGTCACAAATAAATACAACATTATTCGATTGAAGAAAAGCGGAACATGGTATCTTGTTTCTTTCTCGTTTTTCCACGTGCAAGACAAGGATAGGGACGCAAACGCCGGTGTAATTGATTGGCATACGTAAACAACATCCCGGCTGTGTTGTCAGATATCCTTTTTTTCAAATGCACAAATGCTTGCCGTCTTAGGGCGTTTTATATAGTCGCAACGTTGTCGATGTTTAATTCTAAAGTGTCTTTAGAGTAGCCACAGTTTAGCCAGAATTACACGAAACAAAGCATTTGACTTGACATTTCTTCTGCCAAAATCAACATAGTTATACAAATTAAAAGTTTTATGTTCTTATTTACCGCGCCTCGAGCTACACGGTGCAGAGTATAGCAAATTTTCGGCATAATCAAGTTTTAATTTGTTATAATAATAATTTTTTATTTATTCAATGGTAGTAACTAACTTAGTAATTCCGACCAAATAGAAGAGCGGACTTTTGCCCAGATCGGACACGTTAAAAAATAAAACGTGGCAACAGCGCTACTTGTATAATAAACATCTTTTATCTGTACATCATGTTTATTTGTTTATTATAATCTGACGTCAGTTGTTTATCCGACTTGACAGAATTAGAAATATATTGGAAGGCTACAACTTTTCGTACGTAAATTTTACACAAAGCTACCGGCTGATATATTTTTATAACACATGTCCGGTGATTTCCATTATTATTTCTTTCTTTAAAAACTATTCCAGGGTGGCTAACAATGTCGCGGAGGTTAACTAATATATTGTTGATTTTTTTTTGCGCGCACAATGTTATAGATTTTTTTTTGAAGGTATTATACACCGTGTCCCAGTCTAATTTTAATATTTCGACATGGGTACATTTTGATTATACGAGGGGGACTGTAAAAGTGAAAAAAACCTGCAAAACTTGTGGCTATTGCATCCACTGAATTCTTTGTGTGTGTGTGTGTGTGTAACTATTTAGAAACTAGAGCAAACGTCGTGTTGCTTGCTGCGCAAATTTTCAAAATCGTTCTATTTATTAAACAAAAATTAATGTATAAATAAATAATGTGACGAAATATAAATTCGTGTTGATTCGTTAATAATTAAACGAAATATTGCGCGTAGGTATTGACATGAAGGTGTCAACCCAATTGTTCTGCGTAGTTTTCGAACAATTAAAAAAATACCAACGGTTATTGTTATCTTGTTATTAGTAAGAGTTTTCGGGCGTTAATTTACTATTCCTGCGAACATTACACACGACCTGTTCGAACTTTATCAACAATTGAATAATATGTGTTGACGTAATCGCAATATGAATGTTGTAGGTCAGTGCGACGATCGATTGGGTTTTTTGAAAAATCGTTTCTGATAAATAGTGCCCTTTTTTAAATAATGGAAAATGCGGTTAGATTGCAACAACGATAAATACCCGTGTAGATAATTTGTAGGCAACGAAAACAAATTTTGAACAAACGCGACGAGGCGAATAAAACGTTATTTTTTTAAACTGGTTATAAAATTGTTTTGTCATTAAAATAAAATTCGAAAACAAACATCCTAAGGGTACGACGATAATAATTGTCGACAGCGTATTAATTGTGTTTTATTAGTTGATAAATTTTATTATTATTTTTGATAATTTACAGTGGCCTTCGTTGTCATGTAAAAACTTAGTGTCCGGATGTTGCTTTGTTATCTACATGGCTTTTAAATTAAAAATTTTAGATTGACTGATTGATATTAATTTACAAAATATTTAAAAAAAAACACAAAAACCTATTATGGCTATTCGCGATGGCTATAAAAATAAAATTTTTGAAAGTTCCAGAAAATTTAAGAAATATTAAAAATTTTAGACTGTTTTTTAGGCAATTTAAAATCTATTCACGTATTGTTATAAATAAGTAAATTTCTCCAACGCTGTGATAAATAATAGTAAGTATTCTCGAAGTCAGAGCTATTAAGAGAGAATTTCTTGTTATATATTACCTTATTGATTTAGAACAATAGAGAAGTGTAAAAAAACTATCGCTTTATTTTTAAGTTTGTTTTGTTTGTTTGTTTGTTAATATTTTTTTATAATAACTATTTTTTGGTGATTTTAAATACTGTAATGTTAAATTTCGTTCTCCAACTCTTTGTCCAACTTATATCTGCTAACGGATTACGTATTGAATGGAATACTTCGTTAAGACTACACGTATCTTTGTACGAAAATCTGTCCGCCTACAAGTTCCTAAAGTAAAGTGGTTTAAAAATACCGGAAAAAAATATTCGTTATTACTCTTCTGCCACAGGAAACGTCAAGACGAAATTAATAAAAAAATTTAATTATGATTTTAATTACATTGGAAACTGTCACCTGAATGCGATGGAAAAAGATCCGGAAGAAACGACAAAAGGCCTTACAACGAGGGCAGCAATTTTTAACAAGTGTTTACAAGCGGCATTATAAGCAGTTATACGACGTATTTTCTTTTTTGTTGCTCCCCTCGTCTCGAGATTTAGCCGAGCCTCAAGAATTTGAACTGGAAGACGATTTGTTTACACAAAATTATAAACCATTCTTCGGTATTTTTCGTACGCGAGTTAATACGACGTATCGGACCAGTGGCGGGGGCGCGGCGGTTGCTGTCTAATTTCGAACATATTGTTTAGAACAAAATCACGTTTTTATATTAAGCAATGCTGTGAAGTACAATTTCAAACCGTTTTTATCTTTCGACAGCAAGCCTTAAAATTGTCCTCGCAAACTCCGGCCATTATCTGTACATGTAAATAAAAACTACTAAATAATGTTCTATATATCTGGCGTACACACACGCAGACGCACTTGAAAACCGTATTTTTAAGAATTATTACATTGTTACACTTCAAATTAAGCGTGTAAAAATAAACCAGTCTTATCAATTCCGACCTTGAATTGTTTATAAATATTTATCGGGAAAAATACTATTACATTTTAGCCTACAAATTTATACTTGTATCAAATCTATAATTTCTGATAATTAATTTTTTATATTTAAAATTAGAATGATTACTAATATTAACTTAATGTCGGCAGAATGACGGAACAAACATCCGCAATCGTTTCGAATATTTTTAATTTAATTGTTTTGTCAAATAATAACTCGACCCCAGCCGACATTAAAACGAGAATTAATATTTGTTTAGGTGTATTGTTTTTCGTTTAGACACAATCGTCCCCATTTCAACGGTCTCCGTTTACGAGGGACAAAAAGAAATGGTAAAAAATGCAATATAAGTTTCCGCTTTGGGTTTTAAATCTTCCTTACAAAGGTTTTTCGGTGATACTCTCGAGCTCTTCCAGACTGTCGAAGTTATTATGATACCATTACGGTGTAAACAACAAACAAGGGAGGATCGGAATTTATTGCTAAGCCACAGACCCCGTTTTTCCGAATGTAGTCTGATTTTACAGTAGTTAAAAAAACCAAGTATGACATATTTAAAAATGTCGTTTAAAAATTAACTTTTCGGTTTCAGCAAACCATGGCGGTATTTTAGACGGAAGCAATTTTTAAAGGCTGTATATAATTTAAAGTCGTTTCTTTTATCTTTTTCGGGTTTATATCTGTAAAATATTCCATATTAACTTTTCCTCTAGGGGAAGTTACACGCTCTCCCGAATTTTCACACTTTGGAGATCAAGGAAACTTTTGAAATAACGGTGTTGTTCTGAATTAAATGGCCTGTTATTATTACGCAGTTTCTTGGATATATACAGTTCTCGTAGGGTAGGTAAACATATTTGCACTAAGTTGGTGTTTCTTTATTGATATAGTTACCGAAGTGAATCTAGCTTCTATAGAGTATATTTCCTACGTAGCGTATTTTTTGTGTGATGATATTCATCTTCTGGAATTAAAAAAAAAATCTACTTACACTATATCGGGAATGTCTGATGTTCGAAAGCCAAGGGCTAGTTGTTGATGGATAATGGCTTTTTGACCACCCCACGGAACTTTCATAAGGAACGTCGCCTATATGGCCCTAGAAATAATACATTATACATTTTTTTAAAATCGGGTGTTGTATTACATTGAAACATATGTATAATTAGTTTTTATTGAGACTAAAAAAAGTTTCGTTCAATTAAGGTTTGAGAATAAAATGTTAATCGCCTAAATCATTGATAAAAAATAATAATAAAAATAAAAAATGCACGATATTTAAAAAACGAGTGAAATTAGTTTACCCCAATATCCGTGGCGAGTTAACTGACGTATTTGGGGGTATTTCGGAGTAGCAATTTCAAGGTCATTAGGGGAAGCGTAATCCCTCCTAACCGGAAAATAAAAGCAAAATATAGCGGCGAAACCATCAACACGGGAGATTTCGGATTTTTTTGCTGCATCGGGTCTCCCCGTTTTACCCCAGAACAATCGCCTTTGCTAATGAATAAAATTATGGGAAAATATTTTATAAATTGATTCACTTTGGCCTTTTCAACTTAATCTCCATCCTTACGAAGTTCATTAGATTTTTTGTTGCTCTTGTATCGATTAAAAAGTTTTAGGGGGTAAAACGAAGTGCAACAAACCCTTTTCCATATAATATTTTATTTAGGTACTTTTTATAAAGTTAGTCGTATTAGTTTTGGTAAGGTCCCAACGTTACGGGGTGATTTATTAATTCACGTGTCATGTTAGCTTAAAATAAAAAAAGTTTCAATATATTACAAGCATTAAAACAATTAACTGAAATTTGGTACACTTATTCCATATCAAGACACCTACAGGGTGGAACATTTCATTAAATCATTACAACATTACAACCCAAACTTTTTCGTGGAAAGTTCCTGGGTTTTAGTTATCGCAGCATAAGGTTTACCCTTCAATTTTGACACTTTTATGGTTTTCCGTTTCGAAATAAAACGGAAAATCCATCTGCATCGTCACTGCTTGTGTTAAAATAAGAAAAAAGTTTGTTAGGATGGGTTCTTTTCAGGGAAAGTACTTTACATGTCAAATAAAAATCACGTTTAAGATATTGAATGAAGAGGAAGTAAAAAAGTTATAGCATATTTTTTATTGTAGCTCTCAATCCATAAAATCAAAGGTTCAATCCAAGATTGGGTTATGCCTCTTGATACAATCTTCAATTTCTTTGAAATCAATTTTTTTGATTTTCTATCCTCACCTCACCATTCAGCCTGAAAATCAAAAAAAAAAGCATAAATATATTAATATTTCAGAGCTCGTATCTTCCTCCTAAGTTTACGTTATGTATTAGTGAATCACTTTATATATAGAATTGAATCTGAAATATAATGTTGGAGGGAATCTTTTTTTGTCAAGAAACTGCTCTATGGCTGATCGAAAATAGTCAACTTCAAGGTTTCGTCCCATTAAAGATTCAAAGAATCTCAAACAACATACGAAGTCACGTCGAATGTATCCACCATATGATTTCCCTATATTTTTGAACTGATTGATAATGCTTATTTCTTATTAACAGTCGAAAGTCGGTTAGACAAACGTATTCTCTATATTTCCAAAAAGTAGTTGTTCAAAAATTCATCTACTTATCAGTGTCTATATAATTTGGTTTTTCCTATTCAACCCTCCATTTCCGGTATGTTATCATAATTATTCTTCTCGCTAATTTACAGATCTTTATGGTTGCGTTTTGTGTCACGTCAGCATTAGCTGAGTTAAATGTTTTTCACTTCTAACCGAACAACCGAATCTTTCCTGGATACGACGACTGTTTTGAAAAACATGACAATTATTGCGTGATTAACGGTTCTTTTTTCCAGTTAGGCGAAACGCATTCCATCTAAGGAATTGTTTGGGGTTAAACAAGATGTGTTCGTTCGAATGACTCGCAGCAACGTGTTTGTGTCGAGATCTGAAAGAAAACACGGACACCTGCGGCAAAAATAAACATCCCAACATTTATATACAAACATGGGCCGTGAAAAAAAATGGCTTTCTTGCCGACTGACTCAGCGTATAGCCGTGATGGCTTGGACATGCTGATCCGAGCTTGTTCGAATATGTTATTTTACCGATTAAAGCGACTTTGTTTCCCGTATCTGCTGATAAGCAGCAAAATGTATTTTATTCTTGCAATAACGTTAGATCTCGGTTACGTTGTTGTTACAGGAAACTGTAGCCCTATGGACCAACAGCAATTCGTGACGTTAATGTAAACTGACGGATGCATAAATTATAAACAAACGCCACGAAGTCAAAATAAACGAGTTACAAAGTTAGTTATCGAAAATCTTGCGGACTGTCGGATAAATCCGGGGTGAACCAGAAATTCGGACCGGATAAAATTCCGCGCCCGGAGCGAATCCGGAACTAAACGGGAAGGAACATGGCGATGTTTTATAGTAGGAAAGGGCGCGAGAAGTCGACGCGTTTACACAAATGAAATTATAATATCTTTTTCGACTAAATTCAATGTCCCGTATAAATTTCCTTTCCGACATTAAAGTTATAAAATATAAACCTTTAAGTCTACCAATGCAGCCGTTTATCTCCCCCTATTGCTGTTTTACTTTTCCGTCTTTATCGTAGGCGTTTTTATAAAATGTTTCACTCAAGAGTGGAGCAATAAGAATTGAAATTACGTTGCGGATAGTTATTATACAATAAAAAGAAAATACCCACGTTATTCCTTTAAAATCTAAGCAGGAAATTCTTATGAAAAACATGGTCAGCAAAAATCAGAGAGGAAAATAACTCTCTGAGCTGAAACTTTATTTTGTTTTAAAAAATTTGGCAATATAAAAATACCACCTTTGCACGATTTTAGGGAAGATGAAACAATTCATATTAAAGTGCTTTCGGATATGAAGGCTTTCGTGTTAAAGCGACGCAATTATTCGTTAAGGAACAAAATAAGTCTTGACGTGGTTCCAACAATATGGAAAGGTTCAATGAGCACAGACCAGCAATTTCTGGCATGGGTAGTTAATGAGTACGCTAACTAACACCAACTGTACCTATAATTGAAGCAAATATGATAAAGACGAAATTAATAGCTATAAGCATATTTTTAAAGAAACTTTCACAGGCTACTATAATACTTTTTATAAGACTTCTGGATTCCTCCTGCGTCGGCTTTGGCTGGATCGAACTTTCTAAGGTATCGCCAATCATCCTGTTGGCCTCTTCAGAGCTTCACTGAATCTGCCAACAAGTCAACAGGATAATTGGCGAAACGTTAGCTAGTTAGAAGAAGTTTTATAAAAAGAAGCTATAAGCATATTTACACTAGCATTTTGATAGCAGAAAAACATAATCCCATAGACATGGGACATGGGTTTTGTACTACTGGCCAACTTAAGACGAAAGATTGGACCGTCTGTTTAAGCCATTCGTTAAAGACGTGATGCCAGAAAATTGGCAAACCTCTGTCCAGAATGCCATTATATATTATTGAGTCATCATCTGAAGATATGTAGAAAAAAAATTGATTTGGAGAATAGCTAGTAATCTTAAGATCACGATGGCGTGGTAAAGTGAAACACATTTTCAAGTATAATCGCAATAGTACCAAACTGTGCAAATGGCATAAATTAAAGGTGGGTTATCCAGTGAAAGTTTGCTGGCCTAAATGAGATTTTATTACTCTATTATCTGAGGAAACCGACTAGTTATTAATCATGCCCAAAACGGAAACTTTTCAGCAACACCCGTCCATCGACGATTGGTTTTAGAATAGATTATATTTACTCTAGTTTGAACTGTCTGTTCGGTATGCTCGGAAAAGTGTAAGCAAAATTTTTCACTGTAACGCACGGTGCTTTTTATAAACCTCTAACAAGCACGCAACATAAAGTAAATTGTTTAGCATTTTGTGTTTTAATTTACAAATGGCCTTGTTTTCCCTTGTTTATTTTCTTTATCTGATACACATAAGCATTTGTGTTGGAATATTTATATTATTACGTCATATCCGACAAGACCCCGCAACAAAGAGGCGCCGCCTTGTTTTTTTTGCCGATCGTAAAATGTATCGGCGTCTCAGGCAAAAAGGACAGGGTGGGCAAGTTGCGGTGAGGAGATAATTAGGGTATTATTATGCGATGTTTTTTGGGTTTACGATAAGTTAGTTAAGACGTAGTTGTCGAACCGGGAGGATTAGACTCGATTCTGCTTCATTACGTTATTTTTATTTTGATTATCCTTACAAAGCAGCGGTGGGATTTTACTAAAATCACTTACAATCGTTTTCGTTTTTTTTTTTTCTCTTCTCGGACAAGTTAAAATTATTGTACGTCATGGGAAGATTTAAATCGAAAACAGTTACAAGTGAAAAGCGTAATACACGGAAAGAACGTTCATCCTCGTCTTCGGGAAGTGATAGTGACAGTTCGAATTCGAGTTATAGCTCTTCCGATAATAGCTCGAGGAGAAAACGGACAATAAAACGTTTGAGGAAAGAATTAAATGATTTAAAAAGGCGTAAGCCGGTCTTTCGCGCGGGAGACGAACTTTTAGTGCCAAAATTTGACCCAAGTCGGGATGACGTGATGGTGGATAATTGGTTGAGTAAAGTGGATAGTTTGGCAGAACGTTATCAGTGGGACGATGATACTATTCTTCGAATAATTTCCGGACGATTACGAGGTAACGCTCGTCAATGGTACGACGAGAACTTGGAGTACGACTCAAGCTGGATTGAAATTAAAACATCAATGAGCCTCTATTTCCGTAAGTCTGTTCCATTTTCCAAGTTACTAAAGGACGCTGCTAATTACGAAACTAAGCCGGGACAAAACATAGGAGATTATTGTTTTAAAAAAATGTCTAAATTAAGGGCACTTAACATAAATATACCTGACGTTTATTTGATTGACGCAGTAATCGACGGTATTAAAGACGATAATATATCGCGAACTGTTAGAGCCGCACAACATGAGAATGCCAATGCACTTTATGCGTATCTAAACACCGTGGGTAACATGCCTACCGAAATTTATAGTTTTCATGAGAATAACACCAAATTCAAACGTCCGCCTTGGACTAGAACGC